ACACACACAAACACGCTGAGAATGTAAAGGAAAATACGACAGAAATGCCTCAAAGCTAAGAAATGTCCTCCATAGTAAAACTACAGGTGATTTTATTTTTCATTTAGATATTATTCTTGTTAGTAGTTGCTGCTAACTGCAAGGCCAGCAGTTCAAATCCACCAGGTGCTCCCTGGGAGAAAGATGAAATGTTGGTTTCCTGAAAAGAGTTATAGTTTCAGAAACCCACAGAGGCAGTTCGACCCTGTCCTACAATGTAGCTCTGAGTTGGAAACAACTCAATGGCAGGGAGTTTAAGTTAGGGTTTTTTTTTTTTTTTACAGGAAAGAAATATCTTGGTTATTTAAGCAATTACTCTATAACTTTATTTCTCTATTCTAAATAACTTTATGCTGGCCAGCTAGTAACCGACTCATAGCAACCCCATAGGATAAAGTAGAACTGCTCCTTGGGTTTCCAAGGCTGTAAATATTTGTAAGTGCAAGCTTACACATGTGTGTAAGATGTGCAAGCTTACACATCTCCCAACCCCAAACCCCAACCCCCACCAGAGTGGCTGGTGCATTCAAACTATCTACCGATCAGCTCTGTGTCAATGATTTAACTACTCCCCTACATTTGTAAATACTGTAAATATGTAAATACCTATGTAAATTTAGATATGTAAATTCACAGAGATCACGGCAATAAAAAAGGAAGCAAGGCATCAGAAACAGCTTCTGCGACTGATATACCCGCATATAGTATAGCGATATAGTATATACATAGCATATATATAGTATACCCGCATATATAGTAGATATATAAATAGTATACCCGCATATAGCGTAGTGATTCCTCATCTGAGAAAATCATAAAAGGCCAACTAGCAAATTTATGGCACCGTCCTTTCGGTTTATAATACAATAGATAACTGAAAGGTGGCTAAAATAAACCCCACTGATTATATAACCTCAAACACCCAATCTTAAATACAGCAAGGCCCCGTGAAGTCCCTCCAGCCACGTGCACAGCCCCAGTGGAAGCGACGGGCTAACTTGTCCCTCTCGGAGAGCCTTACTCCGGATCGCTGCTGGCGGAGGAGGAGGAGGAGCCCGAGTCGCTGGTCCAGCCGTCGGAACTGCCGGCCTCACCTTCTTGGGAAGGTTCGCCAGGAACCTCCTCTGAGCCCCGACGCAAAGCACACGCAGCCGGATCCGCCATCGTCGGGGTTGCGACCCGTCTCAGTCACTCAGAGCTCGCAGCCCCTATTTACCGGCGTCGCCATGTTGCCTCCGCTTGGAGACGGGGCGGGGCACGTGACCAACACTCCTTGGCTGCGATTGGTGGAGCGTGGGTTGCCCCGGCGACGGGGAAGCTTCTCAGAGCTGGGAGCAAAGGAAGGCGCCAAGGAGCTGAAATTGCGCCGAGGTTGTTTTTACTGGATAAGTGGAAGTAGTAGCTAAACTCTCCAAATCCCTCTAAGGCGCTCTGGTGGCGCGATAGTTAGGTGCAGGCCTGCTAACGGA